CATTGCTCACAGCCCGGGCACCGGCGCTGCCATGAAACCACGCGAGGAAAATTTGACATGGCAGGGTCAGACCCTGTGGATGATCATAGACACGGGTTCTCCGGTCAGCGTCATCCCCATGAGCATATTCGAGAAACATCGCATGTGGGCCGGCTCTGGAGAAGACGTCACTCCGGTTAACATGCTTCTTGGGGCCGTTACCTGTTGTCGGTCGGATAACTATAAATGTACAGTCGGGTTCAACGGTGGTAGCGGGCACGGTAATCTTTGTGGGCTGTGAGGGACCCCTGCTCTGCGGCCATAGCACTATAGAAGCATACCGCAGGTTAGGGGTGTCGCTTTGGGATGACGGCAATTCGTCGAATGTAAATACAGTGCGTGAAAACGCCGAAGTGAATTCCTTGCTCGAAGAATTTGCGGATATATTTGAAGACAAGCTGGGTTGTTGCATGGGGCCACCTGTGAAACTGCACCTCAAAGCGGGAGCCCGCCCACATTTCTGCAAAGTGCGTACAGTGCCGTATGCTATGCGTGCGAAAGTCTCAGCCTAGATCGACCGTCTCGTACAAGACGAGGTGCTTTCGCAAGTAAGTGTTTCGGAATGGGCAACTCCGGTGGTCACAGTCACAAAGAACGGTGACATACGGTTGTGCGGCGATCGTTAACCCCGCATCGCACTTGGAACAATACCCCTTGTCCAAGGTTGAAGACATTTTTGCAGCTCTTTCCGGAGGGGAAGTCTTCACAATGCAGGACTTGCGCAACGCCTACAATCAGCTTCCACTGGACGCAGAAGCCAGGAAGATAACAGTGCTAAACACACACCGAGGCCTGTACTTCTACAATCGACTAGCATTTGGTATTGCTTCAGCTCCCACATTGTTTCAGCGACGTATGGAATCCATACTGCAAGGGGTGCCGATTGCACAAGTGTACCTCGACGACATCATCATCACGGAAAAGAGAAACCACACTTCTCTGCTCCGGCAGGTATTTCAGCGGCTTCGGGAAAACAACCTGAAGCTGAACAAAGCAAAGTGCCGATTCAGAGAAGCTCAGGTGTCGTTCCTAGGGCATCGCATCGACGAGGATTGCCTTCACTGCCTGCAAGACAACCTAGAGGCAGTACTAGCAGCGTCGAAGCCAGCATCGGTAAGCCAGTTGAAGTCTTTCCTGGGCTTGGTGACATACTATGCGAAGTTTCTGCCCTACTTGTCAATGACGCTAGCTCCTTTATATGGTCTACTGAAAAAAGGAGTGCAATAGAACTGGGGGCCAGGACATGAATGGGCATGCGAGGCTGTAAAGATTGCCTTAAGTAAAGCTAAATTTTTTGCCCACTATGACCCACAAAAGCCTCTAAGACTGGAGTGCGACGCGTCGTCGGTCGGCTTGGGCGCAGTGTTGGCACACCGGATTAATGATACGGACTATCTAATAGCTTTTCACTCGAGAACCCTAACACCAGCGGAGCGCAACTACTCGCAATTGGAAAAAGAAGCGCTTGCGCTGGTTTTCGGGGTGACAAGGTTTCGAGACTACCTTTTTGGGAACAAATTTTGTTTGGTGACTGATCATAAGCCACTGACAGGGCTGTTCCATCGCGACAAACCTATTCCGCACATGGCACCGGCCAGGATCCAGAGATGGGCACTGTTATTATCCGCATATCAGTACCACATTGAGTACCGAAAAGGGCAATTGAATGGGAATGCTGACGCCTTGAGCCGTTAGCCTTTGCCGGAACCAGAGCACCATGGCGAAGATGATCCCGTAGAATACGTGCTGCATGCGCAAGCATTGACAGATTTATCTCTTTGCACGCAGCAGTTGGCGGACGGCACGAACGATGACGGTCTCCTGAGGCAGGTGAAGACATGGATTCTGCACGGCTGGCCTAAACAACTCGGGCAGGAACAACAGGGCTTCCTGCCGTACTTCACCCGCAGACACGAACTTACTGTGAGTAAGGGGCTAATCTACTGCTGTCATAGGGTGGTTCTGGCCGAAGCAGTGCAGTCAAATATGCTGCAACTACTCCACGATACCCATCCCGGCATGACGGCTATGAAACGTCTGGCGCGCTCATTGTTTTGTCCCCCGGATCAGACCACGACATAGAAGAGTTGGTGCACAGCTGCCAGCCATGTGTCCAAAATTGGCCCATGCCAGCAAGGCAGGCCCCTATCAGCTGGCCGAAAACCGAAAAACATTGGTCTCGCCTGCACATCGACTACGCGGGGCCGGTGGAAAGGCACATGATTTTGGTCGTAGTGGATGCAAAAGCCAAATGGTTAGAAGCAGCACCCCTCAGAATGGCTAGTGCAGAAACCACAGTTGAAGCACTGCGGGGTATGTTAGCTCGTTTTGGCCTGCCTCAGACAGTCGTCTCCAACAATGGGCCGCAATTCAACAGTTCAGTGACTAAAAATTGTTTTGAAGTTAATCAGGTGCGCCATGTCAACTCCACCCCATACTACCCTCAATCAAACGGATCGGCAGAGCGCACTGTGCGCACCATTAAAGAAGGAATCAATAAAAAAGTGGGGAGTTTGCTCAGTCGAATTAACAAGATTTTACTACGTTACAGGACAACACCGACTCAAGGCGGCCAGTCGCCCGCAGAGATGATGCTCGGTTTTCAGCCAAGGACCCATCTAAGCGCACCTTTTCTAGAGAAGGTGTACCGTGACCCAGCGCAGAAGCTGTGTTTCCTCAGGGGCACCTGTGTGGGCACGCCAGTACAATCAAGCCGGCCAGAGATGGTTACCCCGCACAGTGACGGCATCAAGAGGCAAGCGCTTGGTCATGGTGGACACCACCGGAAAAATGCAGTGCCGTCACGTGGACCAGCTGCGGCCGCGGCACCCCACAGTAGTGGCAAAGCAGGAGCTTTGCGCAACTTGATCTTCTGAGCAATGACACGTGATCCTCCTTCACCACACCAACCTTTGGCAGGTGACATCAAGTCAACTGACCTATCGCTGGGCATATCGCGGGTGCCGAGTGAACCAGGATCAAGGGCACAGACGGCATCTTCCCGGGCGTTTTACGTGCATAAAAAGGCAGCCTGACAGACTGAGCTTTGTCTAAGGGAAAGAAAGTGCCATATCGCGGCATCTAAAGTGCGGGCTCGGCACCAATGTATGCACATGCGTGCGCAAAGAGTTACAGTATAAATACAGCTGCATTATCTGGAATAAAAGATTCTTGTTCTGGCGCTTACTCGGGGTGTTACTGCTACAACCCGATAGTGCACAGAGTAGCAATCATTGGGGAAAATTAGGCACCCAAGCTTTTAATATTAGCTCCTGGAAAATGCTTTTCTCAAAAATCGACTTTCAGTTAGTAAAAAAAGCAACTCTCAGTCAAGCGAACGTCACGGTAACATAACGATCTTCCGCGGATTACTGGCATCGGCTATCTGGTATCGACGTAGCATACGATGCGCAAACGCCTCGATCAAGTAGTCGCGAATAACACATGCCTTTGAAGTGAGCTAGGTGTCCAGAAAAACAAGTGCTTCAGGATTCTCATTCCCAAGTTTCCATTACATCTTTAACAATGCGAATACAGCCGAAAACCAAGCCGTATAGCAGCTTCGAATGCAGCCGCAGCATTCGTTTACGCGAAAGACGACATGGCAGCATATCTACTCCAGTTGCGGCGCCTGGCAGTGAAATGCCGCACTAGCACCGAGGACTGCTTCCCGTTGAAATCTGCACTACGCCCGGGTACTGAAAATATAGAGGAGGCGCTGCCTTGAGTTACAGTCCAAAATGCAAAAACCAGTTGTGCACTTCCAATTCAAAAGTCATAAAACATGGCACAGCATTTTCATTGCTGTTTGCTTCCCTGTTCAGATCTTATCACAGAACCACTGAAAGCTTTGTGGAACAATTCAAGCATCTATCACTGGCAGGCTTTCCAGAAAGTGCTATCAAAGTAAACGTGCACTACTTCGACCTCCTGTTCGAGGCGCTGTAGGGGCATTCTTGCCAGTGCCGTCGCTTTCTGCATGTTCCACCCAGCTCTGAATCCTTTTTACACTCTCCAAATAAGCCCCGATTTGTACAGTGGACTATGAGGATCATATTCTTGCAGGGCTGCTCAGGCCCTCCATTTAGAAAAACTCTTCCCGTGCTTTTTTGAATGACTAATCTTCCTTGACCCAACTTTGTGCGTACCTGAGCTTGCCGATTGCTCCTTTTCCTGTGCTGTGATGCCCGCGCCGTCCATATTTTCATTTTCCTGTGCTGCTGTTTTGTAGAGCTTAAGGCTATCGGGACAGGCGGTGATGAATCTGCGCTAACTCCCCCAGTTTTTATTTCATGGTGGAAATACAGATTTGATTAGATTAGGCAGTATACGCAGCGAAATTTGAAAAATATTGCTTTCTCACCACTAACTTTTTGAATTATATATAAATGAAACTATCGCTGCCCTGCCGCGAGCCCTTGTAAAGGAAAGTGGTGGACTCGTCAAGCTGTCGAAATACAGTTTTTATACCCTGCTCCCATGTATGCGAGACGTACACAAATAAAGTTGATTGATTGATTCATTTAAACATACAGTTAATGAATAGCCTCTGTATTCAGTCAACTGCGCCTGGTGATGAAGGTTGGGAGTGTTGACCGACAAAGACGTGGGTGTACCAGTGCAGCAACGAAGTGGACAACTTGTGTGTCAAAATGCACCGAGAAAACTGCTGAACAGTCACAGAAGCAGTTGGAGAATGAGAGATTGCTTCTGTGCTGTTTGCCTGTACCAATATTTGCTGTCATGTAGAGAAGCAGAGCCGGATAAGCATGTAATGCGAGGCACTTGCATGTCTTGCTGTTGCTCTGCAAATTTTTAACTTGACAAGTTTTCATAGGACCAGCTTACTTAAGTTGATGCTTTGAAGCCCTAACATTCAAGTAAAAGCGAGGCATCTAAGAATTGATATGACCTGTGCACATTCCCCACAGTTCTTCTATACAGTAAATCCATTGGAACAGCATTGCAGGTCCTGTTATTCCAAGAGCTCCACGGTGCATTGTGCCCGTCTGTCACTCGCGGGTGGCACCCAGCAGCATCCTGTATCCCTTGCCCACTGTGCCATCTCTGCGCCAGGCTTGGATTGACTTTGTACGTGCGTGTCCCTGTGGTGGAGCATGTGACTGGGAACCACCGACTGGCGAGATCAGCCTTGTGTGCTCGCTGCACTTCACAGTTAGCTGCTTCAGGTTCCAGCGACCGCGTGGCAGCAGCACAGTCAGAAAGTGTCTGAAAAGTGGCGCAGTGCCGACGTTGTACCCGATTGAAGAGCAGTGCGACTTGACGACTTACGGGGATTCCCCTGACAACACTGCAGAAGATTCGGTGAGTCACGGGACTTTGAGGGCATCCACATTCTGGGTGAATGAGCTCACATGTTTTTAGGACAATAGAATATAGCATATTTTCTTGTGTGTAACCTATGCATAATGTGCCGAAATTGGGGCGCCAAAGTTGGGCACTCAAGTTTCGATGTCCAAGGAAGATGCCCTCACAGGACTACGTGGGGCTTTTTTTTTTTTTTAGAAAAATTTCGGTGGTTTATCGCTGGAGTGTAGCTTATGAGCAGTGGCAAATTATACCTGAGGAAGTGCAGTACATGATATGCGCATACAGAAGAATGCAAAGAGTGCTGCCTTATTTGTAAACACTACCTGAATTTGAGGCAAAAGTGCTGCTGTTAATGTTGTACCTCCTGACCCCAGATATAGAACATTATGTCAGCCAAAGAATGCGGTGTGAGAAAAAGGGTGCGGAATAAAGCAAGGGCTTGTTGGTCTGTCATGTTTCTCGCTGGTGAGTGCAAAAATACGAGGATGAAGAGAAGAAAGTACACACACATTGGCGCTACCCAGTACAAAAATATTTATTTGAATCAGCAAGTCGACTAATATGCCTATTTTTGCATACGACAATCACTTGCAGAAACTCTTTCATAACCATGCATATTCAAATCGATCATCAATGATCGACGCTTTGGATGATCTAATTCTCGTGCAGCACTTTCTAGTAGTTAGTTCCACTTCTGAACTTTCAGAACCAATATCAATTTGCCTGTTTTGACAACACAGTGGTTTTTGACACACCTTCGTGCAAACCAACATATGCACATGTTGCGAAAATGCGATTGGCTGGCGACCTTGACAAAAGTGCGTGCCTCTTCTTATGCTTGAGTAACATCAAAGTTCTGTAATAAAAATATTTTTGCAAGCCAAATAACAATTCAAGGTGTTAGCTTTGCCATCTGACACTGTTGATCAGTAATAATTGCCAGAAATTTATGCCAGCTATTCAATAGAGAGCTCTTGCTAGGATTCGGAGAAAATTTATTATACGCAAAATATTTCCAATGGTCTGCCACTTGTGTAAAGTGTGGAGGTGGCCTTCTCAGCCAGTTTCCAGCAGCTTTGGTTTCGCTTGTATCATTACGTCAGACACAGAACCGGATCTAGTGTCACCAGTTGCTCCTGTGGCGGCAGTGTCACGCCCGCATGGGTGCGCACCTGCGATGCAAAAAACACCCACTGCTCGAAACTGTCTTGCAACCACATCTGACTTGAGTGAGGACGAGCTTAGAGTCCGAGGATGACAGCACCTCAGCTTAAGTATTACGGCAACGATGTTTCCCATCAGCCTGAGACATCCACAGCCATTCTCAGGTTTGTTTTGTTTACAGCCTCAAATTGTCTCCTCTACCGCAAATGCATGGCTGCTGATCTTTGTGCACAGTCTTATAGCTACTCTGGTTACGTGCGAGGTCCACTCATCGCTGGGGCGTGGTGTGCCGGCACCACCTGCAGAGCTTCTCATCACAACAAGAAGTTCACCGAAGCGCATCTTGACCCTCACTACAGAGCAGCGTGAAACATTTTTGGACCACACACGATATTACGCTTTTATTCAATACGATGTGCAAAAATGCAAAGAAATATGCTTGGGTACATGTATTGGAACGCCAAGCTATGGGAAGTGAGGTGGCTCATGGAAAGAGGTGGCGCTATACGAAATAGCGAAGTTCATTGGACATCCGATTCATAGAGAGATTATTCACATCACAAGCATAAGTCCTATATTGGAACACTTGCAGGGTCTTATTGCCATGAAAAAAATGACAGCATATCCACGGGGTTCATGATGAAGAGTGGGGCGAAGCTGGGTCCGCATGCCGCTGCCGTGCCGCTTCAGCCGCCCGTTGTCGTACTGCAGGGTCTTCACGGCGGCGTGCTGCTGCCTCACGCGCCCGCACGTCAAGGTCCTTTCAACCAGCGGGAACTGCCGCCGCCCTACGCACGCACTGCCCAGCAGCCTTGTCCATCCTTCGTTGCCGAGCCTCTGAATACACACATGCCAAAATGGCGCATTTATTCTACCATAGAGTGCCACCTGGTGTATGGCGCTGCCGAAGAACACGCGATTGCAGTCGCACGATCGTCTCTCTCTCTCCTTCCTTACATGTGACGTCAATCCTTCTTTTCTACAAGTAACGCCCTATAGTGTCGTATCATTTGCATTTTTCAGCGTATAGTACAAGTACCGTCCTCTATGGCCGATTCAAGAATTAACTAGGGGTGGTTACCCACAACAAGGACTGACAAGCCACGCCATAAGGAGCTTCGCCCTTAAAACAAAAGTTTACTGAGAACAGCGTACGAGTTCACTCGTGTCTCACGAAAGACCAAGCAATGCTTCTTTGCAAGGCAGAATCAATGAGGCAGCATCTCGATTCCGATTTTCCTTATCTATGTGAATATAGACATCTGTACAGCATTTAATATTTATTATGCTGTCCATGGGTCATTTATCTTCGAAATTTATATTCTGAATTTTGTTTGTTGAGATATTTTTGAAGGCATAGTGTTTTTATTGCATTGTTTACCAGTTGGTGATGAAACATTACACACTTTTTCAAACATTATTCATTTAAAATATTTTTATTGCTCCGCAGCATTGATTTTCTGAAAAGATAATTTAATTGCGGACAACTTGGTATGCTGCAATGCCTGTCTGAATACTTTTCAAACTGGCAAAAATGCTCTTTCGGAGATAAGTGAAAAATAACCGTTTTCGTGCAGTAACGAAAGAGTTGAAGAACAAACAAAACAATCAATAACATGACAGGGCTGAGAACTTTCTACAACAAAATTTAGCGTTTTTGAATAAATGGCAACAAGACAGGCCTTAGCACATGTGCATATAGTGTGATTCGTTTTTACTCAATGACAGTGACATTTTGCTAACACAACTTCTGCTGAAAAAGTCTGTCTGTTCAGCTTCAATTACTAATCTAGTGATTCCAGACGTACTCATGGCTACTATAACAGTCTTTTGATAATTGGGTTGGCAGATGCATCTATGGCAGAGGGGTGCTAAAAAAAATTGGCCCGAATCTTCATGTTACCCTGTAAATGTCATCGAAAGACGATAGTCTTGCATCTGGAGAGAGTGAACGAAACGTTTATTTGATGTTCTGCGCAAGAAAATCGGTGAATGGTATTCTGAAGGCGCTGCGTTAGAGTGCCTCGAGCGTTCAACGGAGGCGAACAAGCGCATCTAGGCACGTTAGACACGAGCGCCATGTGGCAGTTATCTTCAAAAATGAAGGCATGCGCGACCGCGTAGAAAGATGCGCACCAGTCGCGGAGGTGATAAGGTGTAGAATGCAAAGCGACGGGCAGGTGCCACCACCGTGCCGTCGTAGCAAAGCGTTGGAAACACCTTCTTGAGCATCGCGTTGCACTGTCAGCGCAGCGCGTTAAATGCTTCAGTCCTTAGAGTTACTTGTGTGTGCCTCTTCTAGTATAAAGGACAGACATACAAAACATAGACATGTTGTTATGGTGCCTCAGATATGCGCAGTATTTGCTTTTTTAATTGACAATCGCACAACGATGAATGCTAAACCTTGAGCAATATTGGTGGGCGCTGCGAATGGGGTTGGCCGTTTGGTGCCGTTTGAGGTATCGTTAGGGTAGACAGACAAATGTACAGACAGACAGACCAAAATTTTTTTGTCGAAGGTCCCCAAGAAAGACTACCGTCTATAAAAATCAGCTGCTCGCCCTGCACAAGCATTCATTGGCCACCCTCGTATGTATGCACTGAGTCTCGCGTTCGGGTTCCAGCCAAGGGCGTCTTTATTGGGCTTCCGCTTGGCTTGAAACGCTTTGCTTGACTCGAGTCAGCGCCTCCTCAAAAATAGAGGAGCTTGTGCACGAACATAACAGCGTGGTGTTTTCACGAAGCTCTGTCGAGTTCAAGCAGATGCGATGGAAGCAACAGTATATACGTTCAACCAGTAGTGGAGCGCAGCCAACATCAGCATCCCAGCACACGTTGAATGCAACGCTTCTTTTTCATTCAATAAATTAAAATAATAAAGACGAAATAGAAATTAGGCATTTTCAAACGAAACGCAAAATTCACGTGAACCCCCCCCCCCTCCCCTTCCGCCTACTCTGCGATGCATTTACTCGAGTACCCCCTGTGGGAAGGTGCGGGTGGCTTTTTTGTTTCTACTGTTTGTGCGATTTCCACATTGCTCATAAGATTATGTACTCTACATGCGGATTTCTTCAGACATGTGCACTTGAAAGCGGTGAAAGTCCATTTGGCAGCGTTGGGACCTTCTGCATGTACGGTTCTAAGAATGTAATTGTATCAGAAAATCGCCAGAGTGCTAGCCAACAGTCCTCATGTCCAAAAGAACTAATTTTCTAATAAATTGTCGTATCTCTTGAATTTACCACTTGTCTCCTGTCATTTGTAAAGCTAGACGGTCCCTCAACTTTCGGTGACGTGCCGATCACCGTAACACCACACAGATCAGTGAACATAACTCACGGACTGGCATCTGATGCAGACTTGTTGACCTGACCAAACTGAACTTTTGGGGGGCGGGTGGAAGAGCCAAAATGTGACTAATGTACTGAGAATTAACAACAGAAGAGATAACAAGGAAACACCTACGAAACACTTAATACTCACGTTTGCTTCCAGTAAACTGCCAGAATCTATTCGAACAGGGTACACAAAGTTAAAGAACCCCAGATGGTCGAAATTTCCGGAGCCCTCCACTACGGCGTCTCTCATAATCATATGGTGGTTTTGGGACGTTAAACCCCACATACCAGGGTACACAAAGACCTCTCTCAGGCTGTACATACCAAACCCTCGTCATTGCTTCCAATGCCAGAGGTATGGCCATGGCTCTAAAAGCTGTCCTGGTCGCCAGACTTATGCACAATGTGGAGTCCTAGGCCACGTATCTGAGAAGTGCAAACAACCGCCACACTGTGTAAACTGTGAAAGAAACCATGCCGCTTATT